GCATGCCTAGGTGGTGACACATTGAGATGCTATCAATAGTTATTTCTCACATTCGTCGTTCTGCCTCTCCCTTTCTCAAATTAATAAAGGCATATCCTCTGGTGAGCATTAAGAAAAAAAAGAAATAGTGTGGGGGAGCAAGGGATTTGGTTGGAGTTGGGAAGCCAGCCCTCCCCTAGAGAGAGAGAGAGAGAGAGGGAAGAGAAGCACTCAGCCATGGGTTCTTATCTGCTCTTGTAGGTCACCCAGGCTTGAGGTTTGCTCCCTCTCTGTAGGGCAGCAGTGAATTTATTTCGTCTGGTCTGGAAGGATTATATCCTCTGGAATCAGGAGGCGGGGTCCTGTGAGGTGAAGAAGACGCTTCCATCGCCTCCCAGGGGGTGCCAGGTTCCCTCCATCGGCCTCCTCTGTCCCATGACCACCGGTGATTTCCAGGATATTCTGCGATTAATTTTATCTCGGTGCTTATGGGAAATGACACTTCATCTCTTGTCCGTGAACTTTTGACTTTCATCGGTAGATGGTGGAAATGTTTTTGTTCCATATAGACTTGGTAATAATTACAGTTGTAAAAGCAATGATTGATTATTTTGAGTTTCCTAGTTAAGGTAATTTACACACAGCATGCTTCTAAAGTGAGTGTAGTAGGGGAGATGGAATCCTTTTACAAAAAAGAAAAAAGAAAGTAAAATTTTTCCGCTTAAAACAAATTAGCAAGCTTCTGTGGGTGTCTCTTCCACCTTTTGCATAAGGTGAAGAGAAACTCCAAGTGTGTGTTTCCCCTTGCTCAGAGTGAACATGCAAAGTAAGAGGCCTGTGTGGACACCTTATTTAGAAACAGGTGCTGCTGATTTGGAAGGGAGTGGGTTGAAAGCGGTGAGAAACCAACAAGAAGAGAAAGCGGAATCCTCAGGCAGGGGGTAGGGTGGAGGGAGTCTTAATGCCAGTAAAAATATGGTATCAGGTGAAATCTAGAAGTAAAAGCAGTTTACTCAGAGGAGAAAATAAACTCAGAAATCAAGGGCCCATGTGCAACTTGCATCACACTCGAGGTGTTCTCTCTGCCCAACTCCCTGTGTTGGGAACGGATTCATTTGCTTTAAAGATCTTCCTTCATTTCCCACCCTGTCCAGGTAGCTGTGGGAGATTTTCCGTATTTGACATATGCCCATGTTTTGAAGTCACACAGTGTATTATTGTATTAAGTAAGATCTGATTGCAAAAATGGACTCCGTGGGCCGTTACACAATATGTTACCATATGTTCCTTTCAGGAGACCTCACACATGCTTTAAAAAAAAAAAAAAAAAAAAAAAAGGATCGCTCTCATCATTTCAGATCTGAGTAGCTCCTAGTTCATATTGGTGTCAAATAGTCAGTTTGCAGCATCTAAAATCCTTGCTGTCTCTGTTGTTCTTTTGTCTTAAGTCTCTGCTGCTCATCTGAGAATACCAAGTCCTTGTGGCCATGGTTTATTTCTCGCTCGTAGCACCTAAAGCTGAATTGGACATATGGTTCAGAAAAGACCATGCGAAAAGATGCTGGTTGCATTTGGGCACATGCTGATAATGTGATTATTAGACTTTTCCAGTGAAGGTGGTGTTGGTATATTTTGTATTCATCCTATCCGCTTAGTTCAAGTGTCATTCATTTGGTGGATGATAGGATTTGGGGGCAAATAGACAATTTATTGGATGATAAGAATCAGGCGCCAAAAAAAAAAAAACCCCACAAAAAACAAAACAAAAACAAAAACAAACACACACGCACACTCAAAAAACTAGACAGGCTGCATGATGAGCTGATTCAAAGAAGAAGAAATGCAAAAGATGTTATTAGTGGTCATTAGGCTCAGTCCTGGGACCTGGATTAGCAGTTGTCTGCATGGGAAGGGGAAATGGAGAGGAAAAGGCCAGAGAAGGAAAGTTAGGTGCGGGAGACTTGGGGGTGATAGAGACTGCTCGACAGTGAGCGATGGCTTAGTCTGTGGGAGTCTGGTCCTCTGTTCAGGGTAGGTGGTCCTGCTGGATTCCGTCCTGGTGACTGCTCTTCGGGGAAGCAGTGTCAGAAGCAGAATTCATTAACGTTAAGCGTAGCAGGAAGTGAATGATTCTTCCCAGGACCCAACTTAGAGCATGTTGGCCTAGGACCAAGAATGGTGACAGAGGCAGCTCCTCGGTCCTGGGGACACAGCTGGCAGGATGTTCCTGACTCAGTAGCCCCAGGGAAGCTTCCTGAGGCGCCCCAGCTTCCCTGTGACGGAGGCACCAGCACCCTTGGGGGTCAGTTCCCTGTGGTTTGAGAGTCCTTTCCTGGAGGCCCAGCATAGAGCCTGCTCCCTCGAACCTTTCAACAATCACATAAGTATCAATTCCCTGTGTGAACAACGTCCCTTTCTGCTTAAGATAGCTAGCTTGTTTCCTGCAGCCCAGCTCTCCCTGAGACGGAGGAATTTCACAGTGGAAAGGAGCTGTGTGAGGAACAGAGGTGTCCCTGGAAGGATCCAGGAATGAACAGCAGAGAGATGGATAAATGTGCCTGTGGCTTTCAAATGCACACCTGTTTTCCTAATGGGAGCAGGGACCGTGGAATTCCTTAGGGGAGCTGTTCCCCAAATCCATATTTCCAGGCTCTGTCCCCAGATAGTCTGATTCAGGAAGAGCTCATGGAGTCCTGGGGGGATATATATATATATTAATATATATATATATATTAAAATATATATATATATATATTTTTTTTTTTTTAAATATATTTTATTGATTTTTTACAGAGAGGAAGGGAGAGGCATAGAGAGTTAGAAACATCGATGAGCCACCTCCTGCACAACCCTACCGGGGATGTGCCTGCAACCAAGGTACATGCCCTTGACCGGAATTGAACCTGGGACCCTTCAGTCCCCAGGCCGACGCTCTATCCACTGAGCCAAACCGGTTAGTGCCATATATATTTTTTTAAGGTTGCCCCTCATTAACTCTGAGAAGTGCCAAATTGGGTACCAGTGGCCCAAATTTCTTGACTCCCTGAGCTGGTGTTCATGATGATTTTTTTTTTTTTTTTTTTTAAAGAGAGGAGGAAATGTTCAGGAGCTACACATTTTAAAATATTCCCCTGCTAGGGACTCACCTTTCCTTGAATTTAAAGTAATTAATTCTGTAACTGATGCCAGAATTGTGGCAGTCTTTCTAGTGGAAGGTATACAGGATGTCCCTGTTGTGTTATTACTAGAGGAAAGAAATATATTTTGAAAGTGTCCCTGAATACAGCGTAACAATTGAGTTGTTTGCCATGAGAGTTAAAAACTTAATCAAACACTTTACATACAGTATTTCATTGAATAACTATGGCCCTTCGCAATATAACGCCCTGTTTCCTTGTAGCAAGTACAGTTGCTGTATTTTTCTTTTTAACTCTGTTTACAGTTAAAGGAAAACCACTAGGAAAACTATTTAAAATAGGGAAATGCCTCCTCTGAAGAGGGGTCAAGGGATCATCTGGAGAACAAGCAAAGTCAGAGTCATTGAGTCATATCGGAGTGCATTGAGCTCCGGAGGTCAGGTGGTTTGAAGATCAGGGCTCGCGTGTTCATGAAGATTAATATGGAGATGGAGAGAGCTGGGGAGAGAGCATGTCTTGGTGTAAGCTGTGCTCTTATTTGATTCTTTACCACTTCCATCCCCTCACCCCAACTCCTGCCCCCCTTCCCCCCTCTTCCATCCCCCAAGTATAAAAACTAGTCTTCAAGTCTGACCTCTTCCTCTTCTCAAGCTGGCTTTGGAAGGAACATGCTCACATGGAAGTCGCTGTTGTTCCCAGGTCTCCTCCCGCCGCTGACGTGATTGACATGTCGAGGACGGGAGTCCTCTTAGCAGCAGGGGCTCCATGTCAAAGGGGCCTCCTCGGAGGGGCAAGCTGTTCTTCCTCGGCAGCTGCCAGGCTGCCTGAAATCGGGCAGAAGGATTCTGCGTTTGGATAATAGGCAGGAATTAGGCTGCATAATGATGGGAAATGTGGCCGGCCCTAATCAGAGGCATCTGCATGCGGCTTTGTCGCCGTGTGGGAGGCGTCTGTGGGCACAGGGAGGAAGGATGAGCACATGGATGCGAAGATGCAGACGGCGGCCCCCTCGTCCCTTTCCCACCTTGAATCCTGATGAATGCCTGATGTTGGAGGCTGGCGTTGCGTGCTTGCCCATGGTTCTTTTTTCTTTTCTTCTTCTTCTTCTTCTTTTTTTTTTTTTTTAACAGCTTTATGTAGATACAACTCACACACCATACAGTTCACTCATTGTAAGTGTGTGGTTCACTGTGCTTTGAGTGTAGCCACAGGACTGTGCAGCCATCACCACAATCTAATTTGAGAACATTTCTGTCTCTCCTGGAAGAAACAATTGGCTTTATAAAGATGCAGATCTCTTCCTCCCTGCTTTTTTAATCTTTTTAATTTTTATTTGTGAGGATGCAGGTTAATCTTAGGCCTTTTGCAGATTCATCCTTTTTCTCAGAAAGCATTTGCTTTTATAAATAGTTGTAACATGTATTTTTATATTCCAAAGGTTACTTGATTTCATGAATTACATTTGAGTTAACTGGGCTCATCTAACTACCAGTTGGGACTTTTCCAGCTTCAAGTTATAGATTCCAGTCATTTAGCTTGAGCATTAAAAGGGATTTATTAGCTCTTATGACCTGGAAGAAGGAGAGTAGTTGGCCTTAGGAGTGAGTTTGGGGACTCTCTCTACACCTCTCAGACCTTTTATTCCCACATTGGACACATTCACCCCTTTCCAGCTCAGGGTCTAGATGTGGGGTACACATCTGCATCCCACTATGCTTGAAATAGGGGTGCAACTGCAGAAGTGAGGCCAAGGGTCAGATGGCAGGCCGCACCTCAGCTTGCCTCTATTTTTGTGTAACTGGTATTTACAGATACTAAAGGTTTTGATTTGCAGTGGGAACTAAGGCCTGGAGTGTTTACAGGTGGTTAGAGCAGGACAGGTGTCAAGGAGGGAGCTGGAGCTTGCTTTGGCAGCACCGGGACGATACAGAGAAGAGGAGCGTGGCCCCTGCACCAGGATGACACACACATTTGTGAAGCGTTCCGTACAGGGAACTGAAGGTGGTGAGGTCACTGGGGGAGTGTGGCGCTCAGTTCATGTGAGACCTTGGAAATGGGGAGTCATCGTGGGGTTTGGAGCGGAGCAGTGACCTGAATTAGGATTTAAAAAGCTGCCTGGCTGATGTTGAGCCTAGACTGCAGGGACATCGCTTGAGGCTATTGTATTCAATAGTCAAGAACTCAAGAGATGTTGGTGCTTGGACCGGGTACAGGTGGTGAGGCTCTGGATATGTTTTGAAAGCAGAGCTCACACAGGATTTCCAGTAGATTGATGTGATATATAAGGTAGAAAACAGACAAGGATGATTGATTCCAAAATTATTGGCTTCAACAACTGAGCCACGATGGCTGTGGATAGAGTGGATTGAGGTAAAGTCATGGGTGTTGGTTTAAACTTTTATAAAAAATACAGTTTTATTGATTTCAGAGAGGAAGGAAGAGAGAGAGAGGAAGAGAAAAAGAGAGAGAGAGCTCAATATCAATGATGGGAGAGAATCATTGATGGCTGGGAGCCTGTAACTTGGGCATGTGCCCTGAGTGGGAATCAAACTGTGACTCCCTGGTTCGTAAGTCGATGCTCAACTACTGAGCCATGGTTTAGACTTTTAAAAAAATGTCTTTTAGACTTTCCAGTGAACCTGTGGGTGGGCGCCCAGAGAGCTGGGATTGGAAAGTTGGGTCAGGTGTAAGTTCCGGTGATGTTTAGAGCCTGGAGACTAGATCAGATCATGGGATGAGTGATTGTGGAGCAGGGAGGGAAGGCTGCACCTTAGCTTGCCTCTTGTTTAAGAGATGGTGGTGGTGGTTGTGATGGTGGTGGTGGTGTAGATGGTGGTGGTGGTAGATGGTGGTGGTGGTGGTGGTGGTAGATCATGGTGGTGGTGGTAATGGTGGTGGTGGTGGTAGATGGTGGTGGTGGTGGTGATGGTGGTGGTGGTGGTGGTAGATGGTGGTAGTGATGGTGGTGGTGGTAGATGGTGGTGGTGGTGATGGTGGTGATGGTGGTGGTGGTGGAGGTGGTGGTGGTGGTGGTGGTAGATGGTGGTGATGATGGAGGTGGTGGAGGTGGTGGTGGAAGAAGCTCACAGAGGCGGGGCAGTAACCAGTGAGTTAGGGAGTGTAGAGCAAAGGAACAAGCATTTCAGAATTGAAACTTTCAGAATTGAAACTTTTGTTAGCTTTTAAGTAACATAAATGTAGAAATGTGTTCTTTGAATCCACACAAAGAAATAATTACTTAAGAAGAATGTACCTTCCTAGCTCGCTCTTGAGTTTTCTAACAGCAACGTTAACTCCACAAATGTGGAATATTCTCAAAGGTATCAAACTACTTAACAATTTTGGAAAACTGGGGGAAAGGGAAGTGTCACTCACATCCCACCCATCCTAGCACGGCCCTGTTTAATATTCTGCTAATGATATGTTTTTTGGTTGTAATCATGTTGAACATGACAGCTTTGTTTCCTTTTATTCACGTGCTGCCAGCACTTTTTTTCATGTGGCTGTTATTCTCTTCAGCACAATGTTTATCAGCAAGCTCTCTTTTTGGAGTCCATGGTCATCGGGACTCCAAAGTAGGGATTGAATGGATAAAGCAACCTTTCTGCCAGCTGATCCATGCTTTCCCTTCTCCTCTCTGCTGCGCTTTGTCCAGAGATGGAGTGCCAGAAAGAGCGGGGAAAGGTGTTAGAGAAGAACTGGGCTGAAAAGGGAGTCCCAGGAGCTAGCCTGGGGCAGGCCTGGCGATGGGAGAGTAACAGCCTGCCGGGCGGGACAAAGGCAGAGTGGGCGGGTGAAGAGGGGCCTCGCTCCAGCCCTGAGCGACCACTGGGCCCATTCTTTCTCCAGTGACATCTTCAGCAATAACACTTCAGTGCCTCGAGAACCTGAAAGAAAAATTACAATTTAAAAGGGAAACCCTTCATGCACGATTTGCATATGAGTGGTGGCTGTATAATTAAGAACAATTAAATCCCCCGGGCTGAATGGAAAGGGAGGCTCCTGCTACTGGCAGCTGTGCCCCTGGAGTGCCGCCTGGAGCCGTCATCCCCCTTGAATGAAGTTTGGAGGCGGTCTGCCCGCCCCGCCCCCCCTCCCCCCCCCATAACCCCACACATGAAATTCTGTCTTAAGCCCGATGGGCTTCTGTAGTCCATGGAACTCAGAACGAAACTATTTTGCTTTTCTGCCGGCCTCAGAGCAGACACCTCTCCCCTTCCTGGGCAAATACCCGACTGGGCCCATGGCAAAGCTATTTACAGACTCATTTCACGTAATGCTCCCAGTGGACCTAGGGGGTGTTACTTTATTTATTTATTTATTTTGAAATTATTTTATTGTTGAAAGTGTTTACATATGTCTCCTTCCCCCATTGACCTCTCCCCGCTTGCCCCTGCCCCCTAGCACATGCCCTCACCCATTCTGTCTGTGTCCATTGGTTATGCTTATATACATGCATTCAAGTCCTTTGGAAGGACTCTTCCCCCTCCTTATGTCCTCCCGTCTTCCCTCTGAGGTTTGTCAGTCTGTTCCGTGCTTCTGTGTCTCTATTTTTGGTCATCAATGTATTGTGGTGTTCATGATAATTCCACAAATGAGTGAGATCATTTGCTATTTATCTTTCTCTGACTGGCTTATTTCACTTAGCATCGTGCTCTCCAGGTCCATCTGTAACCAAACAACCAATGGCCCGGCTGCCTGTCACTACTTGAGCCAAGTAAGCAGAGACAGGGTTGAATCCTATATGAGCTTTTATGGCTGGCAGTATGGTTAAGCAGCAGGTCATCCACAAAAATCTGCTCTCCAGCCCCTCCATAAGCCAACTGCTTATATAGGGTAAGACAAGGATTGCACGGGGAAGTAGGAGGCTGGGGTGGAACTTTATTCTTTGGGTAACAAGGCTGTTAATCTTTCCATGGTAATAGGCAGTTCTTAAATGAGAATAGTTCCAAGGTCGACTCCCAGGTCCAAGGTTGACTGCCAGGTCCTAGGGGCGTACCACTCCCAGCCAGGTCAGAATGTCCTTTCTTTAACCAACACAATCGTGGTTAACAGAGCATGATTAATATTTCCCATAATCATAACTGTTCCCGAATATTCTATTTTTGCCCCTAACACATTCAGGCCGTTGCAATTGGCAAGAGTTCTTTCTTTTTTTTTTACAGCAGCACAGTATTCCATTGTGTAGATGTACCATGGTTTTTAAATACACTCATCTGCCAAATCTTAGCTATTGTAAATTGTGTTGCCATGAACATAGGGGTGCATATATTTTTTTCTAATTGGTGTTTCTGATTTCTTGGGCTATATTCCTAGAAGTGGGATTACTGGGTCAAAGAGCAGTTCCATTTTTAATATTTGAGGGAAACTCCATACTGATTTCCACAGTGGCTACACCAGTCTGCATTCCCACCAGCAGTGTACAAGGGTTCCTTTTTCTCTACATCCTCATCAGCACTTGTTGTTTGTTGATTTGTTGATGATTATTTCTATTTTTTAGAATTTTTAAAAAACATTTTTAATTGATTTCAGAGAGGAAGGGAGAGGGAGAGAGAGAGAGAAAAACAATAATGAGAGAGAATCATTGGTAGGCTGCCTCCTGCACGCCCCCTACTGGGGATTGAGCCCACAACCCAGGCATATACCCTAACCAATAAAGCTGTCAATGCTCAACCATGGAGCCACGCCCCTGGCTAGGGGCGTTACTTTAATTTTGTAGTAGCAGGAACTGAAATTTTGATCACAACAACATTAGATGGTCTTTCTGGGTAATTTGCCTTTGTGAGTTGGTCCCAGATTGGGCCCCAATGAGTCTATGGGCCCTGGGACTTGGTCCAGCGCTTTCACTGCTTTGTCCTCATCCCTTTCTCCTAACACTGACGAGGAAACAGGACGCTGTCCCCCCATCTTTTCTCTTCTGGTTTTGCAAGAGCTCTGCCATTGGACTTTAGGTAGATTTAAGAAGGAGCCGGATCCCATTGAAGGGTTTCTGCCAGCCACCCAGGGGGAGGAGGAGGTAATGGGTCCCCATAATTGAGGAAGTTTCAAGCAGTCTTTAAAAAGTAGAGTAATTTTTACTCTTTGCCTTCACTGCAGTGTAAAGGGTATTGGGCTCTTGTCAGCAGGGTCCCTTCTAGGACTTTCTTCCTGGGAGGCCAGGCGGAGACCGCACCTGTGTGTCCCTGCTGGCGCCTCTTTTATTTCTGGCGCAGCCACGTCAGTCTGGGTTCCCCCAAGGGCCTCACAGAGATCCCTGCACGCGCCCGCAGGGAGACTTGTCCCTGCACAGGAGACTAAAGGCGGAATGAAAGGTTCTGAATGTGTGTCCAGTCCTAACGCCAGTTCATATGTGGCATTTCTTAGTCGACGCTCACATGTGACCAGAGCCACTGTTGGCCAGCACCGCCGTCAATGGCTTTCCCAGCGAAAGGCAGCAGGAACCGTCCTTTCTTTATTTAGAATTTTCTTTGTTTCGCCATCAGGTTTGGGTTATGTTTGGGTTAGTTTTATGGCGTTAGACATTTAGCTCCTGATTTATTGGGAAGCTCTGGTTCTGAACCACATGAAAGGCTGGCCGTGGAGCCTGCCTCCCGGGGCCAGCAGAGCCCGGAGCCTGGGCCGGCGGCCTGGTGCTCGCTGTACTGAGCAGTGGCCACTGGCAGGCTCTGGTGTTCGCCAAGGGTGCGAAGCTGTGGCAGTGAGAGTTAAGTTGCGAGGCAACGAAATTCTAAAAGACTAGTGGTTTAAAATATGATGGCATTTTTGTTTCCTTCCGATATTACTTTGTATTGCTTTCAGGTGTATAAGCATGGTGGCTAAGGCAGTCATATGCTTTACAAAATGTTCTCCCTGATATTCCAAATACCAACATATGAGTTTTTGATATGCAGTTTAAAAAAATCAAAATATGGCCGAAACCGGTTTGGCTCACTGGATAGAGCAGTGTTTTTCAACCTTTTTTGGGCAAAGGCACACTTGTTTCATGAAAAAAAT